TTTGGAAAATTATGTATAATTATTATAATTAAAAATGTTTTATTTTATTATATTTAACTTGACAATTTTTTATACCTATGACTAGCGGTATTATATTTAAAGTCGCATCCCCACCACCAGCACCCACCAGACGCCACTGTAAAATAATAATCACATTGTATAAAATAAAAAGTAATAAAAAAATTAAACACAAATAAGAAAGTTAATCAATAAAGACTAAAAATGCATAACAAAATAATTCACTATCAGGAATGTATAAAAAATAATTTTCAGAAAATATTTGGTTTGCACCAAAATATAAGTGACAAGAATATACTTGTTTTAATGTATCATTATAGATGAAGAGATTATCCTGCAGCTATAGCTGAGACAAAAATTAGAGTTATAAGGTAAATATAATAGTCAAAAATTCGTTTAATTATCAGAGTTATAGAACGGTATAGGATCAAATCAATAGTGTTCATATATATTATTGGTCTAAATAGGTTTAGATTTAAATCAGTAGAAGTCTCTATTGATAAAGGTGTAAATTTATTTCGGTTTTATTATAGAATAAGAAAAAATCATACATTTTTAGTATCAGATAGATTGGTGAATTCGTTAAATTTGATAATTGTTATTATATGAATCAGTTTTTTGAAAAAATTTAATTGTTTTACAACACAAGTTATTTATTAAGACACGTCAACCATGATTTACATAATTTTAATAGTGATAATTGGCTCACTAAATGTAAAAAATCAAATAGAAAAGATAGAAATGAATAATAATCATAAAATAAAAATTGTGTGATAGAAACACAAATTCAATGGCACATATAATATTAAAAAAATCATGTTTTTCTTTTTTGACTGAAGAGTTTTATGTTTGTTTATTGACGTTTTTAATTCATGTCATTGAATCTACCAAAAAATGTGGTTGTGGAATCCAGTTTTCCATTGATAAAGTTATTCTGTATTTCTATGTTGTTATTAAAGTTTTTTTCTAATTCGAACAACTAAAAAATATTAACTGATGATGTTATATGTATTGTGTATGAAATAAAAACTTACTTCATTTCGATCAGTACTTTAAGGTATGTGTAGTGCTATGTTGGGAGCAATATTTCGGGCCAATTCGAAGATCGTTCGACCGCCACCTTCGTATTCACTACACATATTTTTCTCTAAACTGTATGTTTTGTGGTTTTTGTACGACAGTCCTCCATATGGAGCCTTGCATTTCTTTAGGTCTTTAGCTAAAGTAAAAAAATCACCCTTGATGAATTTGATCTTATCCCTCACACCATAAATTTCCGCATTCTTCTTAGCAAATTCCAATTTTTTCGGGTCGATACCTATCGCCGATATGCCACCGACTCGAAAACACCTCTTGGTCGGGGCACCCAGTATCTTCGCCTATTATGGACACGACTTGACTAACTAAAAATTTAATGACAATACTCTTTGACAGAACAAATGTAAATTTTATTATTACTAAACACAATATTACATAAATTAATCTACCGTTACTACACAATTATATATTTAAATTCTTTATATGCAAGCTGGTTACTTCGTTTACCCGTATACAAGGACCAGACACGTTCTTCACAACATGAACCCGTGGATGGGCATCCAAAATTTCTTTTCCTTTTTTTTGCTATTGAATTGGCGATCACGGAACTTAGCTGTGGGCTCTCAAATTGAAGCGCTCCACTGTCCGTCATAGGATCGTTCTTAATAGCATAAGCGCCAAAACCAGACTCGCCGTACGCACTCAACGCGTAAAAAAACTCGATCGCGTGAACCGGTGGTATGCAAGTGGCGCTACAAATGATCGGCGGCCAAACAATCGCGATAACTTTTTTTACTTCATTGCTAACTGAATTACGTTACCTCCGGCGCTACAAAACGGGTCCATCGCTATATTTTAACCCTCTCACCTCTTGGCAATATGCTTGCTAAACATTTCAGGACACACAGAATAAAATGATTCTAAAATAATAATTATCGTTAACATTAAAAAAATAAATAGTTAATTGTGTATTAATTAAATCACCATAGTCAAAGAGAATTCCGTCATCAAATCTTTTAAACAAAAAGTGTCTTTTTTTTCATAAGTGCTGTGGAATATCACGATAGATAGTTTTATTAGAACTATTACTGACCAAGTTATGTTTAATTTGTGAAGTATTACTGATAAATAACGAATCTGGTGTATGTGATTGAATTGATTCAGTCGAGTGACTTATTTGAATCGAAATGTCGTTCTTGCACACCTCTGTAATGTTTTGGAGCTGGCAAAGGGTGACATCGTCGGTAAAGTCATTGTTCGGTAGGTGGGGGTGTAATATATTTAAATAAGCACTGTTCAAGTTAGTTTTAATGGAATTGTCAGTTATATTATTCTCAAAAATATTTCGTTCGATTTCAACAGTCGTAATTTGTGTGGATGATTCTGTAGACTTTTGATCTGATAAAATATTTGCCAAAATAGGTGTCACATTAGTTCCTGTTATCGAAATTGATGTTCTAATTGGTTTAGATTTCGACTTCATAGTTTTGTTCTACTTAGAAAATTTATCGTAATCAAAAGTTCATCAAAAATATAAAAAATATTAAAACTAAAATACTACTAAAAGCGAGATCTTAAATAATTGAAATAGTAACAAAAAAAAAAACAAACGCGTCAGACAAAAAAATAGGAAAAGTGTCAATCGTTTCAATAAAATTCACTCGATAAAAAAAATAAAACTAAAGAAATAAAAATTTAAACAATATGAAAAATATAACAGAGTAATATTTCGAAAAAAATTGTTTGTTGTAATCACAATATAAAAACACTCAGAAGTTCAAAATGAACTGAATTAAAATTATTGTAAAAAAAATAACTTTTCCTACAATTTTTTGCTATTCAAATGTCTAATGTTATCTTTTTCTCAAATAATTTATCTGTCTAAATAAATAGAAATACAAATTGTACATAATTGGGTGTATTTTACATTTAATATGCATATAACATATTACAATTTATACAAAAGAGGGACCTAAAAACACTCACTTTAGAGGAGATAACAAGTACAGATTTATTAATGAATAAAATAAGAATGTATGATTTAGAAAAAAACCAATATAAAAAAGATGATAAGATGAAATCTAATAATAATAAAAAAAAACCCAGCACAGGGGGGTCACGGCACAGGGCACTTGGATCAAGTATAATGATATCTGAGAGTGATTAAAATCACTATCAAAATAAAACGCTTCGATGCAAATCTTTAGATAGTGTTTAGTTTTAAAAAATGCACTTTTCAATAAGTTATAGCATTATAAAGTTAAAAATGTGAAAAATAAAATCGAGAATTTTCACACAAAAATAGCATTCGGTAGCCATTTTCACCATGAAACAAGTCTAGTGGTCAATTTTTTTTTTTTTCATTATAAAGTATATTACATTAGCTTTAATTTAAGATTTATATATAAAAGTGTCAGACCTTTCGGAACATTTTCAAAAGTTATGTTGAAAAAGTTAATTTTTTGTGAAAAAGTTGTCTTTTTAAATCCCCCCCTGTTGGCAGATAAAGGGTCAAATTTACAAAAAAAATATATCAAATGATAGGTAAAGACATCAAGCATCTATAAAAAAAAATTATATTGATATGTTTATTTTTGAAAAAGTTACGGCACATTTTAGTAAAAAAAATTGAAAAAAATTCGAAAATTAGCGTTTTTTAAATTTGTAATTTTTTTGGAGGTTTCCCCCATTTACGGGGAACGGGGGAATTTTTTTCAATTTTTAAGGGTAATGTCTTCGACTAGATACGATTTGTGATCTTTTGACGTATCGTTGAAAGAAATCCGTTCGGTGAGAGCTGAGAAAAAGTGGTAACAAACACAAAAAAAAAAACACATCATAGTAAAACCAATACCTTCTCAGCTTCGCATCGAAGCTAATAATAATGTAATTATAAAGGGAAAGAGTAATGTTGACAAGAAGTATAATGTAGCACCAAAAGGATTTTCTGAAAAAAGCCTTGTTTTATGTGTGAGGCTCTAAATAAACCTAATCGTTATCATCCACTTCAACTTTGTCGGAACAAGCTACAATATTTGGAAAAAAGAAATGTTAATGTATCCGAAGTCAATCAAACTGAAATTGATGAACTATTGGATATTGAACTAGAGAACCAAAAAAACTAAATCGCCCGGAAAAATTTTCACAGCTTATAACATTAAACGTATTAATTAATAAATCAAAAAAAGTAAAAGGTATCTATGATAGTGGTTCAAATATTACACTTGTTAATCACAAGATTATAAAGCAATTAAAAACAAAATTTTTTGAAAATCATAGTTTGTTTAAAACAATAAGTAGAATAAATTTTACCAATAGCCGGGCACGTTTACATTTAAAAATTAATAAAATTGAAAAAGTTTTAGATGTATATGTTATAAAAAAACAATAATTTTACATATGATTTATTACTTGGTCTAGATGTTATTAAAATATTTAAATTGTCACAGGATGAAAATTTAAATATTTTTCAAAAAATAAATGAAAAAGAAAGTGAATTAATAAATTGTCAAGAAAAACAAAAGAATGGTCTACAATTAAATTTGAATGAATATATTGACGTTAGTATTTTTGAAACTAATTTACAACATTTAAATGAGAAAGATAAAATAATAATAATGAACCTTATTAATAAATATAAAGTAATTTTTGCTAAGAATAAATATGATGTAGGTAGAGTTAAATGTGAAGAAGCACAAATTAAATTAACAGAAGATAAATATATTAGTGGCAAAACGCTTTGGGCACCTTCTCTAGAACACGGAACAAACCCTTGATTTCCGTAACAAGACTTGTATTTATTTATATATATATGTTTGTGTGTGTGTTAATATACCAGGAATGAGATATTATATATCATGTTATCATTCATCGGTGATAAGTTATCACAAAGTTCTATAGGAATTATAATAATAAGTAAAAAATAAATTTTCAGTCAAATAATGATTTTTTAAAGTTTCATGACTATTTATTGTGAATTTAAAATTATGAAATGAATCTCAATATTCATAAAAATAAATTATATCTATCTAATTCTATACTAACATTTTTTTTTATTATTTTAAATTATTCGTAATGTAGTGAAACAGTGAAGTGTTTCACTATTTTTATTTTACTATAAAAATGATAGTTCAGATCGCATTAAACATTCTGTTTGTTTTTATTACTGCATAAATTATGGAGGAAAATAAATCAGTTATAGACTTATTACAATCTTTGGATTTAGAATTATCGGAGGTATTGTTTTTATTACCTTCTATCACTTAAATTATTATTACTTATATGTTTATCTTAGATAAATGATACTGAATTCAATATTCCGCAATTAAAAGATATTCCATCAGTTGAAAGCATTTTAAATTATGAGGACATATCTATAATAAGTGAAGAGGATTTAATATTATATCAAAACAAAGTAAACATTTAAAAAAATTTAGTTAATAATATTATTAATATTTATTAATATTTTGTTCTAGTTAAAAACATCATGGTACGATTCTGGAAATGATTCTGTATCTTTGGGTAGTTTGAATAGTAGTAACGTATACTTAGAAAACTCTGTTAAATATATCAGCTCAAAATCTGATCCTGACAGAATTTTACGTCATATGGTTCTTAAACCATTATCTAGTCAAGTCCTATCTTTTTGTGTAATTATATCAAAATTTTTGTAACTAATGAAAATAGTTTTTTATGTGATTGAATTACTTTAAACGAATTTCGTGAAAATTGACTTAAATCACAGTTATAATAACCACATATTTATTGTACTAAGAGACATATAATAATATAAATATATTTGGTTGTAGGATCGTTTTAAAGCTGGAAAACCTAGCGCAATTAAGCTATCATCTCCTTTAATGGTTATTGGTACTACTAATGGTTTTATAATATTATTTGATACTTCTCAAACATTTTTATGGTATAATCAAGAAACTGAAAATAGTGCAGTGTCTGCTTTAGATTTTAATCATGATTGCAGTCGACTACTAGTTGGATATGTAAATGGAAATGTTATAATGTTTGATTCATCTTCACCTTCTTGTAAAATTTTACGAAATATGTTAAATGTGCATACACCAAATACAGCAGTATTACACTTAAAAGTAATTGTAATGAACAATGTTAAAATAATTATGAAAGAAATTTAAATCTTTGAATATCAAGGTTAAATACATAAATTATTAATTCTAGTAATGATATGTATACTTTTATTTTTAAATTTGAGTTCAGTTCCATTTACTGGTTTAGTATAATTCAGAAGAAAGTTAAAAATACAATTTTTCCTAATAATTGGATAACATATCTATTCATAAATGCATTATTAATAAAAATAATGATGCCTTATAGATGATTTATTAGGCCAATAATTTTCTAGAGATACAGAATTTTTTATTAAAGCATAAAAAATAAAATTTTAACTATTCTTATAGTATATAGGTCTCATTTAGATTTTAGATTTCTTAATCTGAAGTGGTCATCATCAAATTATTCCAGATTTATGTTATTAATTACATTTTCTATATTACGAAATACGCCCAGAATATGTAGGTAGTAAGGTTTTCATGAGTTGAGAGATTATTCGCCTTCACAGTATGTTGAAAAACTATTTCTAATTCAATCAAGAATAAAAAAAAAGTTGCTATAGTATAAGTTACAAACACTGTATTTATTTCCCAAACCTGAAATAAATTTATTGCTATATAATGAAATAATGCATAATGCTATGTTCTTCACACTTGGCAACATTTTTTGATTCTTGAGGTTTTATTAAATTGGTACTTTGTTTGTAGAGTTTGCAATATTAACTTTATACTTTTAATAGAATCAGAAAAGTTCCTTGACACAATGAAGAACAACCATCCCTCAAATCATGAAAGCTTCAATACGCTAATTTTCTAGTTGTATTTTTAATAGACTAAGAGAATATCATGTTCTACTTTTATTATTCTAAATTTAAATAAATCTTTTGAAAGAAAATTCCTTTTAATTGAGTATTCTTATCTTAATAAATATTATCTTCAATTTATGTAACACTTGTTGCAAAATAAAAGTTAAATTGAGCTTGATCAATGGTTAGTTATATGTCATTTTAATCTGATATTTTTTTTTAGTTTAATTTTATTTAACATGCGGTAAAAAATAGCTTTGTAAATTACATTTCAAATTATTATTCCTCCATATTGAAGCATGTTTAATATATATATTTTCTATATATTCAATATATTAGCTTCTACTATTCCACAATAATTTCTTTGGTCTTATTAATTATACTTGATTAAGGTATCCATTTAAAAATATGCTAATTTTAATATCAAATAATACATCTAGTTTACAGATTTACCCAATTTGGCAGTTTTAAGCAATAGTGCTGGTTCTGTTTTTGAACTTAATTTTAAAAGAAATTTTGGTATAAGAAGTGTAGATTCTAAATGCTTATTTTCTGGTGGTCGTGGAAGAGTATATTGTATTGAACCATTACTATTTAATCAGTTAACAAATCATCCTATGAATGGTTATATAATTATAGCTATGGCCACTTTTTCTAAAGTAATTTATGTGATTTCATTAAAAACTAAAAAAAATTAATTTCAGTGATCATTGTATTTATTTTACTTTTAAATATTTTACTCAGATTATAATAGTCACAATTAGGCCAAACACTGAATTATTGTTATCACAAAACATTTCTTCATCACGGGATTGTTTACCTCTTTTGTCTTGGCAATTTGTTGTTGTACAATATAATAAAACATCCAGTTCCAGTCATAGAATTATGGATCCAGTACTAGCATTTACACGAGATGATAAAATTTACTTTTATCAGGTATCTTATTTATTATATTTAATATTATAAAATTATGATCTTTGCTAATATTTTGGAACAAAGATGGTATATTATCAAATACTCACTTCAAATTTTTATTCATTCAAGATTAATTTTATTTAATTTTAATTCATCTTATTATATTATTATACTTTAATAAATTATATGATAGGTATCATTCAAATATACTTTTCAGTAATGTAGGAATAATAATCTACTAAAAAAATATTTTTATTAATATTAAAAACAATATTCTATATATCTACACTACTATAGAGAAACAAAAAATACTATCAAAAATTTATTTCAAATATTGATTCTTTAATATTAATTATGTATTGTTTATATTATGTAAATAAGATAAGTATGAATGAACAAAATCAACTCTTTTGCTGTCAATTACAAAATTTTACCTTACCGTATACAATATTAGCCTGTTGTTGGATGAATGCCCGTACTTTATTAACTATAGATTCAACTGAAAATGTTCATCTAATTGATGTTCGTGTTGGTAATGAAATGGAACAGTTAAATATTTCTATTATTGGCATAATATATACCTCAAGTTACTTTATAGATAGTGATATAAATTTTATGGTATGTTATGATAAAATTTCGTTCAGATTATTAATTATAAAATAGTTTTCTAAATAACCCAAATTGTTAAATCATACTAAACCAACTTTTTAGGATAAATGCTGTTATAGTTCTGTTCATGGAATATGTGGTCAATTAATATTATTGGGAAATAAAGGTATTCATACATTAAGTATTAGAAGTTGGATTGAGCGTTTAGATTGTCTTATTGATAAGGTACAGTCATTATAAAATATTAATTTTTATCAATTTTTTTTAAAAATAACATTGTATTTCAGAAATTATATAGTGATGCACTACAATTAGGAGTTGATTTTTTAGAAGAAAGAGGTAAAGCAGTTCTTGGTCTAAGAGGTACTAGACTACACAGGCATAGAATTGTGAAAGAAAAGGTTTATTATAAACAATTATTAAATTATTTTTATTTTAATCATTCAATGAAAAAAAACTATTATAGTTGACACCCAACATAATAAGGATAAAGTAAATATGAAACTAGTATAGAAGTCTGACAGTGATTAACATCATTATCATAAAACACTAGAGAATGAATATACTTTAAGATGGGTGAAATCTTCTTTAGATAAGAATTATTTTATTAGAATAGAGTTTGAGCCCTAAACTTCCTAAACTATAGCACTACTTCATAAAAAAAATATTTTGTGATAAATTTAAAATAAATAAAAAAAATCATAATTTGTCATCATTAACAATTATAATTGGGTAATGTTTTTAACTAAATATAATTCAGGATTTTTTATAAAATTACAAAATAAATGTTATAGTAAAATTAATACCTTCTCAGATTTGTATCAAACATAACATTTTTTATTGAATTATTACTTAGATTCTCCTAGTTTTTCAGTCTTTATATATATAATATTTATGTTTATGTATATTTTTTATTCCCAATTTTTAATTTAATGAATTATTAATTATTAGTCTTAAATATTATTCCTTATGAAACTTGTTATAATTTATTTCAGGTCATTGATATACTAATGTCTTACATAGATTCAATAGTAGATATAAATAATCCTAATAAATATAAAGAAGGCATACCTATTATAGCTGATATCTGTGTTCACCTTCAAAAAACGTAAAAAATTTAACTATATATTAATTAAATTAGTTATTTTATATGCATAATACTTAACCAAATCACTCTTTTTCAGACACTTATTATTTGGACGTCTTTGGGATGGGGCTGAAAAAATTAAATCTGTCTCTGACATATTTTTAGAATGTTTGAAAAATTATCTATTTGAAGGTCAATTTGATGAAGTTCCAACTAATGTACTACAAAGACTTTTTGAGTATCTTGTAGAAACAAATCAATTAGATGTAAGTATCATTATTGTTGTTTATATATATTTTTTCATTAACTCATTATGATATTAGATATTTTATAGACCTTCTTTTTTCCAACAAATATAAGTTCTTAAGATAAATTTAATAAGTTGTAAGCAGTATGTTTTTTCTCATTTTAAAACTAAATTTTGTTGCTGATAAAAATCAATTAAAGAATTAAAAACCCATAGAATGTTTTCTTTATAACCAGGTTTCTGGACTTATTACATTTTAAAAATTTATTTTGACCACTTCCAAGACATAATTTCTTGAACTTTCCTAGTGAATACTTTTAATATTCATAACAATTTTATTCTTCAATATACAAATGAACTAGTAAATAAAACTAAAAATCTATCTATGTAAAGTTATTTATTAAATGTACTTTTTTTTTTACATAAAAGTGTTTTAACTAATTTTTGTTTCTATCATAGGAATTAGAAAAATGTATACTTAATATAAAAGTGGAATGCTTAGATATAGACCAGTCTTTAAGTTTAGTAAGAAAATTTTCACTTTATGATGCTTTAATCAGCATCTGGACAAGAGCATTAGAAGATTATGTTGCACCACTTCAAGAATTAGTTCCTCAAATTGGTATTTTTAATTTTTTTTTTTTGAGAGAGGCCACAGAGTTATATGCTTTGTTGATTTTTTTAATTGGATATAATTTTTACATGAAAGTGGATAAATAAAAATAGATGATTTTTCAAGAGTCAAAAAAACAAAATAATTTTCATCTAGTGGTAAACAGAACTTTTAGATTCTAATTGCAATAATAATTGTAGTATTATCATGGATACATTTAAACACAGTGGAAAATTTCAAATAATAATTATAAATAATTTAAAAATTTGACTTGACCCCTTTTTCAAAAATACCGTACAATCAGTGTTGTATATCTTATAGGGTATTGCTCTTATATGTTTATCTTAATTTTCTTTATAGGGAAATCCAACATTTTTCCAAAAAAAATTTTTTTTAATCTATTTTTGGTTTTTATTAATTAAAGTCATTGAAACAACATATTAAAGATCTTTAATTTAAAATCTTCTAAAAACTATAGTTTTAGAAATAATATTTTGAATCATTCCTTAATGTATAATAATTAATTAATCTATAATAATCCTTTAACATGTTGATGCATTTGAAGAGAATATGGACTTGCAAAAAAAATATTTCACTTTTTTTAAAGAATATAAAAAAAAAATTTTTTCAAAATTAGGTCCTAGAAATTTTTGTTATCATATTTTAACTATTTCATTTCAAAGTATAATATAACTTTTGTTCATTCAGTATTGTTATTGTTGTTGTTACTTTTAGAATTTTCAGATTCTACTATAGAATTGGGAAATAAAATTTTAGTTTATTTGAGCTGTTGCCTATTAGGTATTGCCTATCCAAATAGAGGAGATATTCCATCACATTTACAAGATACTGTTCGAAATAATATAGTACAATTTATTTGTGCTCAACATAGCATTAAAGCTAGTGATAATGAAGATATTTATCCATACTTAAGGTAATTCATTAATAAAAATAAGGTTTTTATTAAATTAAAGTAAAAAATAGAGGAAATATAATTCTAAATACTCATTGTTTTAATTAATTCAGTCAATTTTATATAGTAATATATAAAGGATGAGAACTAGGGGTGAATTAGTAAGAATTTTCAAACTAAAAAATTATTTATGCTTAAACATTTTTTATATGCTGACAATGAATTCACAATTATGAATTTAATAGTATGTTAATAAAAGTCCAAAAATGTTAGACTACAAGGGGTTGATTCTTATAACAATATTAAATAATATTGGATTGTTTTTTTTTTTTTTTGGGGGGGGGGGG